GGACACCAAGCTTCTGTCATATCTTTTGCAATCATCCAGGGCTCTTTCCCTTGCTCCAATAATGAGATGACATCAGGCTTAGAAATGGAAATTCCTATTTATAGAAAAAGAAATAAGGCATTGTCATCCTAGCCCCAAATGAAAATTCAATCCCTCAGTTGTCAAGGAATTAAAAGAAGCAACATAGGTACCACTCAGATCCAATTTGATGGTATACACACACAAAAAAATAAAATTAAATAAAAAGAAGCAACATGTGAAGGCTGTCCAAAGGATGAGAAGATAGAGATGTCCAATGGAACGGTCCATTTTCAATTCCACAAAATATAAAACCATTTTTTTGGGGGAAAGAGAGCAGAAATTCAGTCCAAAAAATTGGTATTTACCCTAGAAATTCACAATGAAGAAAATAGAAAATCAAGTAGCTGGTCTTAAGTTATTTGGGAGAAATCTGTATTTGGGAGAGATATTTAATTATAGTAGTTATTCTCCATTTATCTCTTCTTCCCTTAGTCTTGCTGGTCCTCATATGTTCTGGGAACCTGAAAGAACTGTATTACCTTTGTCCTATGATACCCTGTTGGGATTGGCACATGGAAAGCACTAGCAGAAAGTCAGCAGGGAAGAAAAGAGAGCGTTCATGTGATTTTTTTTTTTTTAACTTTCTCCCTCCCTTCTTTGACCCCGGAATTATGGCAGTAATTATAACTGCTGTCTGCTGGACTTTTCCCTTGGCTCTAGATTACACACATCTTTGGCACTGTTTCCTCCCTCCCACCCTTCCGACCAGAGGTGGTAACAGCCTCTCCCTGTGGCTGTCTCTGGGTGTCTTGTATCCTGTATGATCCTATCTGATACAATATGCTTACCGAGTGAAACTAAGTTACTGAAGTTTTCCAAAGTCACATCCCTATACAAGTCCTTCTGGGCAGGCTCCAGGTACTTCCATTCTTCCTGGGAAAACTCAATGGTCACATCCCTGAATGTTACCAATCCCTAAAACAATAAACCAAGGCATTATTAGTAAATTAAAGCACTGAAAGGAAAACAAAAAACCAGATTTTTTTATTAGGCAAAATGTCAAAATATGTAAAAGTCATAATAACAAAACCCCTTTCAAAACCAAAAACCCACAAAAGTATAGAAAACAATATAATGACCCATATAAACCCATTGCCCTACTTCAACAATTAAGATTTTGAGCTTCTTGTTTTATCTTTTCCCTTATATTCCCCCTAGTGCTTGAAGCAAATACCAGAAAGCAAATACTATAGAATTTCTTATTAGACTAATTTTTAAAGGTACAATCAGAACATCATTATTGTATTTCAATACAATAGTGCAATTAACAATATTTCCTAGAATCCAAACCAAGTTCTAATTGCTCCAGGTTCCCCTAAAGCAAATAAACAGCTAGTTTCTTTATATCAGGATTCAATAAGCTCCACACTGCATGAAACTAGAGGACTCCTAAAGTCTCTTAAATCTCTAATAACCCCTCAATTCCTTTTAAAATTTTACTGCCACTAATTTACTAAAGAAACGGCTGTTTCAGCAGAATTTTGACTGGCCTTATCTTCAGTATGTAGTTTAGCATGCTGCTCCAATTTAATACTTTCTTTGAAGTGGTAGTTAGGTCATGCTGTTGTTATGTGCCATGGAACCAACTGTGACTCACAGTGACTTCTAGTCGATCTGAAACATATCCTATCCTGTGCCATTCTCACCTTCTCTAATAGAGGAGTTATGTACTTCTTATTGCAGGAGATACATAATTTCTGAATGACTGTCTCAGTTTTAACATTGTTAAGACTGATGAATAGGCTTAGGTTTTGACCACTTGATCTATTAAGCAAAATGTCTTTAAGACAGGAGAACAGGAAATGGAGAAAACACTGTGGGAAGGAGGTGAGAAAGCAAGCAAGCAAGCTAGGGCTGAATGCCTAATTAATAAAGGAAGGATAAGAACATAGTTTAGGGAGATTCAAGATGGTGGCAGAGGCAGAGACAGCATGGTGAGCTGCAGGAGCAGCGAACCACTTAAAGCAGGGCCATTATGGCCTTCCACAGACTTCGGCTTATTGATAATTGAACACTTAAACAGTTGATGACTGGCCCTCAGTGAAGATCGAGGCTCAACAACAGAAATTCAAGGATTCCCAAGGAGAAATGGG